TTTACAGGAACCAAACCACCAGGCAGCTCTGAGCATCAAATTAAGGATACTCACATCTTGGTCTGAATCATCATATACAGTTATCTGTTGACTCCAACCTACAGCCATAATAACTCGTTTATCTAAAATAGGTAATATACCAGTCACTTCTGCATCAGCTGCAGCTTCTAGCTTATGGAGGTTGTGTCCATTTTGAAAATTCCATACCTAAAATGAGGGTAAAAAGTGATGACTTACTTCGATCAACATAGGAGGTTTGTATTCTCTGCTTTGTCACTGAAAATCAACAATATCTCAATCTTCATCTTCAAAAAAAAACTGTACACTTACTTTAATGCTACCATTTCTGGCACCAGTGATTAGTCTTCTCCAATTATCATCAAAGACCATGGTAGTTATCTCTTCTTCACCATGGGCATTGGAAAATACTACTGCTTTATTACCAGTTTCAATATCCCACACTGCTATACAGGACGAGTCACACCCTGTTACTACCTATAATATACTATAGCTTTATTACCAGTTTTAATATCACACACTGCTATACATGACAAATCACTCCCTGTTACTACCTATAATATAATATAACTTTATTACCAGTTTCAATATCACACACTGTTATATAGGACAAATCACACCTTGTTACTACCTATAATATAATATAACTTTATTACCAGTTTCAATATCCCACACTGTTATACAGGACAAATCACACCCTGTTACAACCTATAATATAATATAACTTTATTACCAGTTTAAATATCACACACTGCTATACAGGACAAATCACACCTTGTTACTACCTATAATATAATATAACTTTATTACCAGTTTCAATATCCCACACTGTTATACAAGACAAATCACTCCCTGTTACTACCTATAATATAATATAACTTTATTACCAGTTTCAATATCCCACACTGTTATACAGGACAAATCACATCCTGTTACTACCTATAATATAATATAACGTTATTACCAGTTTAAATATCATACACTGCTATACAGGACAAATCACACCCTGTTACTACCTATAATATGATATAACTTTATTACCAGTTTCAAAATCACACACTGTTATACAGGACAAATCACACCCTGTTACAACCTATAATATAATATAACTTTATTACTAGTTTCAATATCACACACTGTTATACATGACAAATCACACCCTGTTACTACCTATAACATAATATAGCTTTATTACCAGTTTCAATATCACACACTGCTATACAGGACAAATCACACCTTGTTACTACCTATAATATAATATAACTTTATTACTAGTTTCAATATCACACACTGCTATACAGGACAAATCACACCCTGTTACTACCTATAATATAATATAACTTTATTACTAGTTTCAATATCACACACTGTTATATAGGACAAATCACACCTTGTTACTACCTATAATATAATATAACTTTATTACCAGTTTCACTATTCCACACTGTTATACATGACAAATCACACCCTGTTACTACCTATAACATAATATAGCTTTATTACCAGTTTCAATATCACACACTGCTATACAGGACAAATCACACCTTGTTACTACCTATAATATAATATAACTTTATTACTAGTTTCAATATCACACACTGTTATACATGACAAATCACACCCTGTTACTACCTATAACATAATATAGCTTTATTACCAGTTTCAATATCACACACTGCTATACAGGACAAATCACACCTTGTTACTACCTATAATATAATATAACTTTATTACCAGTTTCATTATTCCACACTGTTATACAGGACAAATCACACCCTGTTACTACCTATAATATAATATAGCTTCATTACCAGTTTCAATATCACACACTGTTATACAGGACAAATCACACCTTGTTACTACCTATAATATAATATAGCTTCATTACCAGTTTCAATATCACACACTGCTATAAAGGACAAATCACACACTGATTAAATTAATTCAATATAACAAACTACTATACAGGAAAAATCACACTGTTACTGTATCTATTGACATAAAAGTAATGTACAGATAACTACTAAAGTACTAAAGTTTTTAGGGTACCTTTTAATCTGAAATCATAGAGAGAGACATAGCAAGTGTAATGTACACAAAAACTCACCTGTTTAAAGAATTGGTTATAGATAGCACAACACAATTGAGTATCATGTGTCAATGGCATTACACTCTGAGGTTCAGCACCTTTACCTAATTTCATCATACCAATATAGTCATTACAAGTTACTAGTAAACTATTATGTGGTATTGGTTGAAGGTGGATAGGGAACTGACCATGTTCTGGCATACGACCATGTATACTGCTTGGAAATTTTAATACTATTGTCTGAACACATGTTTGTTCTTTTACATCCCAAACTTTTATGACCTGTAACAGACATAATCATGTATATAGAAAGTTTCAACTTTCTGAAAGAGAGCTCTCGCTACCAGAACACATGATGTCATCTCTACAACTGGGTTAGTCAACTCTGCAACTTTAAGGTTTGTTAACTCTGTATTCCTTTTGAAGAGACGACTTATCTGATATCATTTATTCGCCATGTTTACATGTATTACATACTAACAAGCTGATGACTGGTAGACAAGACTCTCCCTGAGATCAATTCTTCTA